CTATTCCTTCTTTTTTTCTCTCTCCTATCTCAGATCTCCTTTTTTCTTCTTGTTCTTCTTCGGCTGCTGTTCTCCAGCAAACATGGTATCAGAGCACTAATCGGTCTGACTGGTTACAACCGCCTCTTTTCTCCACTTCTCTATTCCTTCTTTTTTTCTCTCTCCTATCTCGGCCACTGTGAAGAAACCCTAGGGTTGACCGTCTCTTGGTTGTAGGGCCCAAGGGGAGTTTGTTCCAGAAGCTGATGCCCTACTAGAAATCCTGCAGCAGGTAGTAGCCACTTGGCTGCTAAGAGAGATCTGTGTGGAAAAGATCTAGGTGGAAGGACTGAGTTAGACAGTCCTAGTACAGATTGTAAGGGTGGTCACAGTCTAGGTTCGATCACCAGAGGTGCCAAAGAGGTATTGCCCTCGGCTACAGCTACGATAACAGAAGTCAAAGCCCAGCCCAGAAGTGTTCAGTACAGTACAGGGGTGGATTGTTCTTGGCTTCAGAACTGTTACAGAGGTGCTTCAGACCTATTACGGGGGGGTTCTCAGACTTGTAACAGCTTCGGTAAGTCTGAAACCGTGTTCTTTGTACTGAGATTTCAATTGTGATCACTGTAAGAGGAAAGAGATGTCTTCAATATCAGGAGAAGTGTCTTCTAAGGATAATAGAATTGGTGGGAGGTCTTCTAATTTGGAAAACCCAAATCTGCACAACTTGCAGATCACCAGTGTATTGTTGGGACGAATATAACTTCAGAGAATGGCTTGTTTCAGCCATGCTCTTCATTACTTCCCGGGAACTTACGGGTTATTTAGATGGACAGAAGCAGGAACCTAAAGAGGGTGGTGTGGAATATGCAATATGGCATAAGGAAAATGCTACTGTTATGTCCTGGCTGCTTGCTTCGATGACTCCAAGAGTGGTCAGGACTGTTCAACACTATCCCACTACTGCTAAGATTTGGGAGAAAGTGTCTAAAACTTATGGACAGAGAAAGAACAATGCAAGAATCTATAGGCTAAACCAAGGCATTGCTGCATTGAGACAAGGAGATATGATAGTTGCAACTTATTTTGCAACTCTAGAAGGACTATGGGAAGAACTTGATCATCATCTTATTCTTGGTTGGGAGAATRTAAGAGACAAGGAGAGGCATGATAAACAAATTGAAGAAGGTAGAGCCTTTAAGTTCTTGGTTAGCTTAGACCCAATGTATGAGAGCATAAGGTCTCAAATTTTGGGAAGGGATGAAATGCCAGATTTA